CGCTGAGATTTTACAAATATAATTTTTTACAAATGTCTACTTCTCATTCGGCGCCCAAATATTTTAGAACTATTCTGTCAAATCTTGACGATAGTTCATTTGAGTTAACGAATACTGTTTGAACTTCTTAAACATGACTGTTTTCCTTCCAGATGAAGTTCTTTATCCATTTTCTACTTATATTTTTACTTTTAATCTATGTTGTTTTATTATTATTGTGTGGCGCATCTTTCTTGGTGCCATATTGTACCAAGTTTTTCTGCGTCTAAATAAATAAAAAATAAATAAATATAGCGACGTAAAGGAGGGCGTCGGTCGGGGATCGAACCCCGGACAATGTGCATGGTTGGCGAGCGTCCTAACCGCTATGCCACCAACGCTTTGCCTCCAGAAATTATTTTACTACTTTCTATGACTAAAATGAGTTGATCTGAAGTGCTAATAACTCCGAGACATTCAAATAGCTCAAAACAAATTAACAGTGTTTCTGATTGGTCAATTTACGTCCGCCAAAAAAATAATAATAAACTAACACTAAGTTCATTACAAATTAGCACATAGAAGTATTAACACACATGTATGTAAATGGTTATCAAAAAGAAAACATTATAATAAAGGTTTCTGTATTTCCCAATGAATGAAAAACAAAAAGAAAACAATTGTTTATAAATATGTGAGTAGGAGAAATCAAAGATTGAATTTCCTTGTTTTTCTTTCGTTTTAATACTTATCACCTACGCCCGACATGAGTGTTTGTCACTCCCTATTGAAAGTGTATAAATAATCATCGTCCCTGATTGTAATAATCTCCTGTGTTGAAAAACAACAAGTAAACTATTGGGTTTTTTTTGTTTGTGGACAGAGTAATCATAAAGTGAGTTATAGTCTTCTGAATATATATATATATCACTTCTATTTTACTAAATCAAAATAAGTATCCTATTGTGTAGGTTGCAGTATACCTAGAAATTATAGCCCGTGGTTTGGACGATTATGCTATATAGTAGTAGTTGAAACCGAGAAATATTTGCTGATCATTCGTATTTGGGTGAATAAGGTTGGTTGAAATGTTTTACAAATTTCTTTTGCAAAGATTAAAGTGTATAGTACCAGTAAACAGTAATTACTATGCTATGAGGTGTTTTGAATGAAGTCATATACTCACTTATATTTACTGTATAGATCTTGCCGGTATACGTTGATTTCGTTTTAATGAAACACAGTAATAATAACATGTGCCAATAGTCTCTAAATAGACTTTATTACATCTGGAGCATGACATTATTCAACTTTCAGAAAACACTTCATGTACTTCATGCATTATTTCCACAATAGTAAAGATTTTATTTGATATAACACAGTATCGAAATACGCAGTGTTCTATTCACCTAAATTCATGAACGCAGTTGGAGTTGACATCAGCAGGGTATTTATACAGTTTTGAATGGCTTATAGAAGAAGTGGTGCTGTATAATGTTAAGAGTTTAGCTGCAGGGAATACATTTTATTTGATATAACACAGTATTGAAATACGCAGTGTTCTATTCAGCTAAGAAATATCTCTTTTCAACGACTTCATCATCAAGCTGTACATTCTTATTTTGTATTACGGAAATAAGGCATTAGGTAGCACTAGGAATTGCTCAGTCAATATACATATAATAAGAATAAAGATATTTCATACATTTGGTTCCCTTGATAAATTTCTACAGACAAAGAAAGACCAAATTAGCAGTATAAAATGATATCATTCTATTTCACAGGTTCTCATCAGCTGCAGACTACCTGAAATAACGATGGTTATATAGATGATGATAACATGCTTAAATGTTTAAGTGGTAGTAAAGAAAAAACTATAAAATTGGCGCATCCGAAATGTAAGCATTACAATTTTTAGTTTAAGTTTTCATCATTAATTTATACGCTTTCAAAGTAGAAAGGAAGGGGAGGGGTTCGACAGGAAACAGAAAAAATTAGCAAACAGTGTTAGCTTATAGGTTCACATAGCAACTCTAAAAAGCGATTACAGTGTATAAGATCGAGATTTGCTAAGTGAGTTGAGACCATTAAATTAGATGACAAGTAAATGTAATCAAAATTCAATTACCTAGGGAGTGAAAGGTTAATCACACTCTCTTTCTGTATGCATAAGTCTGGTTTGAATCGTTTGATTGAGATCGCTTCGGCAAATCGTAGTAAATTTGCTGTCCCTTGTCTATTTAATATTCTGAAGGACTTAGAAATCTCTACGATATGTCCGGTATCAACAATATGGCTGGTAATTGCACTCTGAGAATATTTGCTTCCTTTCAGGCACAGGTTTCTTGGAATATATTCTGAAAACCGGATAGAAGCCCATCTTTCTGTCCTTCCAATTTACTTGCTCCCTCAAGTGACCTAAATTCATGAACGCAGTTGGAGTTGACATCAGTAGGATATTTATCCAGTTTTGAGTGACTTATAGATGAAGTGGTGTTGTATAATGTTAATAGTTTAGCTGCAGGAAAGCTTCTTTTTATTGTACCTTTCAGTTTTTGTCAGTCTTCTGTGACACTGCATCTTCTTTGAATGGGAGACAAATAAACACTTTCTTCTTTTCTACAGTTGGGTGTCTTATCTTTCTTATCTTTTTCTCTGCCATGCTTTTGTGTAATTCCCTTTGGATATCCATTTTCTCTTAGGTATTTCTCAACTAAACCACATTCTTCCTCCAACTTGTTTGGTGAACATAGTTTCCTGGCTCTGTCGTACAGTGTCCGTGTTAATCCCCACTTATAGCTTATAGGGCAGAAGCTGTTGTAGTGAAGGTATTGTCCAGTCCAGGTTTCTTTTCTGTAAATAGACTTTCCAACTGTTCCATCGTTACTTCTTTTTACATTTAAGTCAAGGAAATCTAACTCGTTTTTGTACATATTCCATGGTGAATTTAATGTTTGGGTTGATCTCATTAAGGCGGTCAAATAATACGGATGCTTAACTCATGCCGTTACAAACAACAAACGTATCACCGAAATACTGACAATAGCATGTTGTTTCATTGATAGTGTCATTCAGTCGCGTCTGTTCGAGATAATGTATGAAGATGTCGAGTAGAATAGGTCCTAGAGGTGAACTCATGGCGACCCCATCATTTTGTTGATAGAAATGGTTGTTGAATTTGAACTGGATGTCTTGTGCAAAGAATTAGTAGGCGCTTCATCTCTGTTTCCGTTAATGGCAATAGATCTGTTTGTTTACAAATGATGCCTATTGTTTTCGTCACTGGTTCATTTGTAAATAAGGCAGTCACGTCGTATGACACCATTAGTTTATTTGATATATCAATATGGTCGACTTCTTTAGAAAGTTTAAACGTGTCATCCAAGCAATGATTTGCGAATTTCTGTTGAATTGGCTTCAATGAATCAGCTAGCCATCGAGCTAGTTTGTGACATGGTGTGTTTACCATTGATAATATGGGTCTTAAGAGCACATTGGCCTTAAGGATTTTTGGCAGACCGTACATAAATGGAAGGCGTCCACCTTTTGACCTGAGTTCGTTGTAAGTTTTGTTGTCAATCAGTTTCTTGATGAGGAGTTCTTTGAGGCATTTATTTACTTTATTTTCAAATGACGTTGTTGCATCCTTCTTAGTTTTGTCTACCTGAAATTTCTCGGGATCGCTAAGAATTGTCAACATTTTATGTACATAATCAGTTTTATTCATTATAACAACTGCAGAGCCTTTGTCGGGTCTAAACATGACGATGTCATCATTTTTACATAGTCTCTTTAGTGCCGCTTTATGCTCCTCAGTGAGCGTTTTCTGTTTTTCGGATGTTGATGTGTGGTATTGGTTGGCTATATCAATCAGTTTGGACTTAAGCTATCCTCTTTTGTCTTCGTCCACAGGTTGCAGGTCAGAAAGTTGATGGTATAAGTATTCAAATTGCGTTTGTGTATCTATGCTGTTTATGTGCTTCTTGGGGACGCGAAACTTGAATCCCAAAGAATAGGCTTCTAATTCAATTTTGCTTAATTGAAAATTTGACAGATTAAAGGCGTAACTTCCAGGAGCTTCCCTGACTAATGCTCTTGTCGGTTGGTTTTCATGTTCTTTGCAGTTCTGGATTGTAATTCTTTGATGAAGTTCAGGAATTTGAGCCAGCAAGTAATATTTAGCTCATTTATTAAACTATCATAAGTAGCCAGATTAGACTTCAGATTGGAAAGATATTTGTACGAGGATTCAATATACGACTTTGTTATTCATCAAAGGTTCTTTTGAGTAGGCGGGAGTTTAGTTGATCGAACTTGCTTCAAGAATTGTCGTGGGAAACAACCTGTGTGCCCACACTTTTCGTAGAACTTGATCTTTTTCGACTCTCTCGATATTCTGCATTGCAAAGTCAAATTCTGCATATCTGGTCTTTCTTTCTTTATCGAAAGAATAAAGATAATTAAAATGATGTATTAAGAAGGTCGAGTTAAAGTGGATGAATTACAAAACTTTTAAATATTACTAAATAAGTGAACTGGTATAAAGTTAACAGTTCTACTTATCTTGGTGATCAGTAACTGCAGTCATAATTGAGTGACTCATGTTCATGACCATAAAGGCAGTAATTATGAATGCTCAGACTAAATATCTTTAAGCTAATATCACTGGTGTTCGTAATGCGGAATCGGCTATCTGAACATGTATCTCATATTAGAGTTCAATTATGTGAGCTTATCTAACTGACAGGATAATTATTGTCAGGGATTTTATTTAGTTCTTTTCATGAGACAGAATATTTGAGTAGAAAGCTTGGCTAAGAGATATCAAAGTTTCTTGGTTAAATAATTCATGTCTATTCGAACAAAGTTGGATTTTGTTGTGTTTATTTTTTTCATTGATAAATGGGAGCCACTTTTAAATTACCCTCTAAGAAAGAAGAATTTTTACTGATACTTGTACCTACATATTCACTTGTTAACTATATTCTTTTTTTAATAAAAGTAAATCTTGTTTGAATAAAATGAAGCGAAATAACATCTTCTTCCCTGGGTCGAGTAAACTTAGTTTAAACAGTCGAGTTAGTACTCGCCTTAGCGATATGCCGGTTTATCAAAGTAAGCAGTCAAGGCAATCAAGAAAAAGGTCATTGTGGTCTGAAACAAAACATTTTCTGAGCATAAAAGAAATATTTCAACCGATTATGAATATATTTCCTACTGTTGATCCAAAACATTCAGTCAGTCAGTTTGATTTCTGGACAAAGTTTACAAAGAGTCCAAATGCCATCGGTCACATACACTTCTCGCTTAGATATGCATGTACTTTACGAACACTGAATGTTGTTATTAGTCACTTAACTGGTATCAGTAATTTTGAAAAGCGTTTCACTGCTTTTCCCAGTCAAGTTGAATCAACATTCGTTATTGCTTTACGACTGCAACAAAATAGAAAAAATTCAATTAATAGGGATGAATTTCAAGACGACAGTGATGGTTTAAGCAGAAGTTATTTCACACTACCAGTACGTACATCGTCAAATCCACATTTTGATCAGTCATTTGTATTTCCTGTCACCCTGAACGAATTGCGAAACACGGAATTAGTATTGACAGTTATGCATGTAATATCAACAGATGAATGCAGCAGTGGATACAGCAATATAGAAGAATCGCTTATTCTCAGTGAGGCACTAAACTCACTAACTTCTCAACAGCCTGATCAATCTAGTCAGATATCACTTCATTCACGGCTGATCCCTGAGGAGATGAAATGCATTGGTGTTGCATTTTACAGAGTCGATCATGAAAAGCTAGTTCATTATCCAGAGGAATTACTACATGTATGGCAAGAATTATTCAAGCCATTAGACAATGAAGACTTTACTTATCTCGACAAATCAACTAGAGAAATGAAACCAATTTCGCCAAAAGAGCACTGGAAACCCATTGAAAGTAATAATCAAGAACAGGCGAGTTTCTATGTATGTGCTATAAACCTTATCACTTATTTTAAAAAAAATGTTTATTTTCAAAGAGTTTACTCAACTGTTTCAGGTTGGAAAAGCAATCGGGTAGTGATAATCTCTAAATTTGTAAGGGATAAATAATGATTGAGTTCGGTGTATTGCAGCAAAGGCCTTAATGCTTAGTCACGATATTGACAGTCAACTATTCAGTAACCAGTTATCACTCATTATTCACTTTGTATGCAAAGCGAATAGTTAAGATGACAATAGGCTGGTGTTGGGGTTTCCAACTTTCAGTCAAAAGATGGTCAGAAGTTTTAGGCAGATATATCACTGATGATTGTCGACTAACATTAAACCTGGTTTTAAGAATTCTTTGTTGTATTACTGCGGAATTTGCTGACAGCAGGGTTAAGTTCAATGTTTTGGCTTTACTACTTACAGAAATAAATACCTGCACAATTGAAGCAACTGTCTTACAGATATGAGTTTTCTTGTTTTCAGCACACTTTTATCTAATCAATAGAAACGCTTTAATGAGAAAATAACTACTCTCCGACCATGCACATGGTCCGGGGTTCGATCCCCGGCCGACGCACTCCTTTACCTCGCTAAGTCGGAGTTAAAGCTGGTAAAGAGGAAAGGTTGGGCATGAGGCTAGCAACCCCATCCTGTAAAAATAAACACTGCTACAGAAACTTCGAGCTTGAAGCCCTATGTTCCACTGGGAACGTGAAGGAAAAAAAACTACTATGGAAAGTTTGTACATTGTGGAATAGATCAATTCAATGGTTGTTTACACAGAACAAGTTTCCTTCTTTTAAATTTGAGTAACATTTCGAGCGGAACTACTACCCATTGTTACAAGTTATTAATATGTGAACTGAAAACAATACAACCTGTCAGTTATGTCACGGCAGTAATTCGTCTCGAAATATTATCAAAACCAACAATCTTACAATTGTATGTCAATAACAACTGAAATATAATTGTAGTTTCATATAATTGCCACAAACCAGACAGATTTCATATCAATCTCAAGGAAGTGGAGACGCAGCCTGCCTGCTGGACACACAGTCAAGAAGGGGAGCAGATTTGGGCTCAGATTATCATCAAGTTCAAGGAACCTTCAAGATCAAGCTGAAATACCTGCAAACAACTGGAGACAGACCACTGTAATTCAAGTTCAACATTCAGAAACTGAAGGACAAAACTACAAGGGATGCTTTCGCTACACATCAGATCAGAGCAAACTTGGAAGCACAAGGTGGCATCATCGAGGAAACCTGTTTGGAAGAAGACTGGAACTCTTTGAAGGCGATATTCAAGGAAAAGTGTGCAACTGTTCTAGGAAGAAAAAACTGACAAGACTGGTTGTCAATGGTTACCTGGAAGCTATTAGAAGATAGCAGAGGAGCATGGTGAAAGAGAAAGATGGTTCAATGAAGAGATGGGCAACAGAAAAAGAATCTGAGTTCAATGTACACTACACTGAATAAAGAAGTGAAGAGTGCTAGGAAACATCAAATAAAATTCTACGACACACTGTCTGGTGACCGAAGCAGAACAGGAGGACTGGAGGTAAAAGAGACCTAAGGACATTGTATGAGATAATCAGGTCTCTATCCAGGAAGAGATCGAATTCCATTGGGGGTAACGAGTGGGTCGTTGGAGTAAGAGTGACGTGGAGGAGATCGTGTGAGCGGAAAATGAACGATTACTGTCATTTGTGGCCGCGGCTGAAGAGAGCTGTAGAAAATATACGAAAGTGGGTATGTGTTGTTGAAGTCCTATGTTCCACTTGGAACTCAAGGGAACTATTATTATTATTGCTACAGAAACTTCAAGGGAACAAAAATAAAATAATAATATTTGATGAGAGGGATTTATCGTCTGTAGGGTAGTCACATTCGAATATTTTGGGATATTCTGACGCTCCTTTTTTGCTATTACACGGTCAAAATCCTAAAATATCTCTTGGTAATTCGTAGCTACTTATTATTGGATAAAGTAGTATAATGCAATTGAAAGCATTTACTGGCAAGATTTTAGTATTTCATAATTTTTTGACTTAATAAGCTTACAAATACTCTCAAAGTGATGTGTCTTTATCATGCTTACATCACTGTATTTGTGTAATATCGTTTCATAGTTAAATATCCTGCATGACTGTATAAAAGTTTATTTCAGTTTAATCCTATTTTCTTGTTGCCTTTCTTGAACTGAGTCACTATGTGTGTATGTGTGCGTGTGTATCTGTCTATGTGAATAAGCTGTACTGTAATATCTCACAGTATAGTTTAGTTGTTATGCAAACATTTAGAATTTGTCTAATTATAGGTATTATTTCTTAATGCAGTAAAAGAGTTAGCGTATTAACTTCACCTTCATAGCATTGTGGTGACAAATTTTATCAGAGTAATTCCTGATTTTCAGACAGCTTATTGCACATAAAAATAGTAACATACTTTGATTTCAATGCAGTTTAGTTTAGATGGAGTGAATAATATCGATAGATTGATGCATGGTGAAACGGTTATTCTCTTTACGAAAGAACGTTTTTGTTATAATCTTGCACTTCATGAGTTTAGAACCAGAAATAGGTGATAAGTGATGTGGTTAAAGTTTTGTGAGTATTCATCATACCAATCTGTTAAGCTAGTGTCCGTGTATTTTGGTGGTCACTTATTGATAATGACATTGTGAAACAACATTCGGATTGTTTTTTTCCCTAGGAAATTTACGCATGGACGGTTGCTCTGTTTATTTTCGAAATATTGCTTTATTCTTGCAGATATCTGTGCACAAGGCTGGACAAGTTGAATTAGCAAGTAAGCCTATGGTAGAACTATCGTTGCGTTATATAAAACAGTCATCTCAGCTGGAAGTGCACTTGGAGAAAATTAAATATATAAAACTCTACACAAACGAAAGTAGGTCCTAATAGTACGATAACTTTGTACATTTAAATATACCATCACTTGTATGATGCTTTAATATATCTCCTGCATTTCTAACATTCAACTTTTTCAGTTAGTTAATTATCCTATAACTTCTATATTAACAATAGGAATTGGTTCAATCAGGAAATTTACATGAAGCCTGTTACTTTAAGAGATTTAATGTCACCTTCCATCTTTATAAAGTCTTTGCAGAAACTTGAATACTGCAGTTCGATTAACTGATTGATGAATGATTATTTGATTATTTTTTTGTATCAAACTTTGACTGTGGTTGATCTTTACTTCAAGTGAACGTTTGCTGTGATCAGAGATGAGCGATTATTGTCCTTCTTTTTCCCAGAATTCCAACTAATAAAACTAGTTCAGTGTTTTAAACTGTATTCCTTTGTAATGATAATGAAGATGAACAGAATAAAACACTGTTTCAAGCATTTTATACTACTGGGTTACATTTACAAACAGAGAATAATAATGAAGCTTGTATAGGCTTCTAACTTGACAACTGCATATGAGTGTATTTCGTTTCATGAAGAAGTAAATGTCGTCTAAATTTTAAATATGTGGACTAGGATAACATCACAAATAGCCAAAGTTATTGGAATGTTAGTGAATTTCTACTATTCACCATTTAGTTAATTATTAAGAATGGCTGATCAATTATCTTTTCAATATTATCCAGTAACTGATACTCTTTTTTACGAGTTTATCACGGATTGATATCAGTTAGAGAACCATTGAAAGCCAGGGAGTACTGGACAGCTGTTTCATCCCATTTTGGGAATCATCGGCAGTACGCACTCACTGGGATCCCAACCCAGGACCTTCCGGTTTCAAGTCAAGCTCATATACCATTCAGCCACTGGGACCCGATTCAATGGCTCATGAATTCTAACTTCTACCGATTCGTGATTTAGTGCGACCAACCAACCAATGTCGTCGGTAGGACATCCATCCTCACACGTAACATCTGGATGGACCTCACTGGTCTCGACTTCTCACTAGAACTCTAAGAAACTCCATCCTGTAGCAAGTCACTGGTGAGCATCAGATTAATTTTCTGTAGTTGGTCTGTAAGGATTAGTTTTGTTTCTACGAGTTGATTACGGATTGATATCAGTTAGAGAACCATGGAAAACCAGGGAGTACTGGTACCGTGTATGAAATACAACGACAAATAAACGGATGTGAAATAACGCTATGTTACAGTGATTACATTCTTTGCGTATCTCATTCGAGTATGGTGAAGGCCTTTTGGACACAGTCGGTGATTAATGGACAATACTACAAACATTCACCTCTTTCTGCATAAATAATATTCTTCTGAGTAAGCACGCCGCCATAGTAAATCCTAATGGTTATGCATTTTGTCTGAAATAAACGCGGATATTTTCTATGCTTATGAGAAAAGCAAAAAAAGGTTCCAGGACAGTAATGACAAGGTATCTAGGTGACGGATAGTGTTTCTTGATTAGATACTAGTAACTAGTGTGACGTATCTAGTCCTTCTTTGGTGCAGACTGAATTCTGTCAGTCAGGTATTGGCAATGTGGCCACCATTCTAGGTAGCTCGCCATCACGGTGCACATTGATTTGATATTAGATAGTTGGAGGCAATCGGCAGAAAGCTTTGGACCTAGGTTTCATGCTAGTTGGCACTCATCAGCAAGGCGTATCTGCAACCTTGAAGGAACTCATGTCCCATCTGAGATTCAAACCCGCGTCACCCAGTGCTGTAGTCAGAGACGTTACCACTGAGCTATTTGGGTTTGCGATTGACCTCCTGTAGGACTGTAGTGGGTATTTTGATTGGACACTAGTAACTACTGTGACGTATCTAGTCCTTCTTTGGTGCAGACTGAATTCTATAGTTTTTCTTGTTGCTTCATCCTATTGGCTCATTTTGGTTAGTATATATGGATTGTATTACAGCTTTATTAGGATATTGTCCAAAAAGTTTGAGAAGCGTACTAGTCAGTCACCTTTGAAGTTATTCAGCTAAGCCATAGTTATTTTCTTCTATAAACAGGCATTCATGAATCTGAGTCTACTGAGTATTTGTTCACTAAGATTCCGACGCTAATTGCAAATCGTGTTTATTTTACAGACTAACAGTTATCAACTTCATTTAGTTGACTGTATAGGCGACTTAAAGCGATTAGAAATGCACACAAATGCACACAGTGATTTTTTAAATAACTTTATATCTTCTAAATTTTCAGCTGAACTAATCTTTAGAGCAATATTCTGCCTGAAAAGTATGGCTCAACAATCTCTAAAAAGTCAACCAATCGAAATCGTCAAAATCGACGACAACAAGACATCACTGAATACTGATGCAAAAGACAGTTATATTGTTGATCAAATCACAATACCTTCACAAGAACTCTTATCATTAGATGTGGATATGGATTATATATTACATTATAAAGATATTCAAACAATTTTTGAAATATTCTTTCGAACTAATTCATTTTGTCAGGCACGTTGTTTGACTAGAATTGTACTCGGATCAAATGCAATCAACACTAATGAATCAGCCATGTTACAGTGGAATGATTTAATTACAGAAGTGAATAAATTAAAAGCCTGTAATTCACTTAATTCAACAAGGAAGATAACTTATTGGCATGAGATTGACAAATTTTCATGAGGCGAAACAGTTTTGACATTTAAAAATGCAGAAAAAGCTTTAAAAATAACACGAATAGATTGATGAATTAATTATTTTTATTTTTCACCCTATTTTGGTATTCCTTTCTTATTTATTCTTTAGAGAAAGTTCGTGAAAATGAACAGTGGTTAGTACTTTTGAACTTGTTGATGATTAACAGGCGCACTATGTCTGCTGTTTAAAACAATCACCAGAATGAAATCATCTAACAATTTTTGTAAAGAATTTCTAATTCATTGAATCAGATAAATAACATTAAAAGTGGTATATATATTATTTTACTTGATATGTATTCACACTTCAAATTCACTTCCTTATTATTAGGTATATATTTCAAAAACGCCGGTTTAGAGTGTTTATCTGAGCAGTTTTGGAAATCACTGAGTGGTGTTTATTGTGGACAATTAGTTTTGTCTATCGTGCATAACAATAGAAATAAACGCATCAGAAGAAATATTTATAATTTCAAGCGAAAATCACAGAACAGGTATTGTTGGCGGATGGCATATGATGTTTACAGCATAGAAAGTACATTAGTTTGAAAGTTGGCTATAAACTAGTAACTTCTGTTGACGGTTATTCACACACAGAGGACACAGAAACTTAAAAAATCTTGTTTTTACTTTGGTTATATTGAATGTCAATCCTATATCAGTAAAGGCTCAGATTTAATTTTTTCCATCATTCTGTTTAGACATTATACGTGATTTTAAATAACTTCATCTAATTGGTCTCATGACAGGTAATATATATTCAAAAGGACAGTTCAGTGATGTCAAGATAAACTGAAGAGATATCTATTCTACATTTATCCATTTTGTTTTACGTGTTTTCCACGAAAGTTTAGCACATTGCTGCGTCTTAAATTCTACACCTAATCACTTCCTTTGGTGTAGTCTTATACTGACTATAACTTAGTTTTATATGAGCTAACTTAAATCAGGTGGAAAAATCAAGTAAAAGAAATGTCTCCACTGTTAAATTCAGTGTTCTGCGACATCCCAAAAGGATTACTCAGATAGTGGTTATTTTTCCTAAAAATAAATTTATTGAGCCACCATTATATTACTTCCAATACTCGTGTTTTTTGATATTTTTCATTCACTACCTGATAAATTACCAAATGACCAGTCAATTTAATGAATATTGTGTCTTAATGTGAACCGAAATTTATTTATTTATTCATTTATTTATTATTTTATTCCTTTACATTCCGAGTGGAACTTGGGGCTTCAAACTAGAGCTTTGGGATCCCAGCAGCAGGGGTTTTAGTTTCACGGGATGGGATTGCTAGCCTGAAATGCCCAACATTTCCTCTTTACCGGGATATACTGCCGGCTTAGGAAGATGTAGGAGTACGTCTGTCGGGGATCAATCCCCAGACCACGTGTGTAGTTGGTGAACGTCCTGCAGCTGAACCACCGACAAAACTCGCCGAAATTAGCACAACTGATTGAATATATTGTGACCGTAAATAAAACTTTTGAAGAAGAATTTCCAGAAATGCTTCGGGTATTTGTGATGGAGTTATATGCGAAGAGGATCGTTTAGGCTAACTTATCATGGAAGCCTTACTGTTGAATAATGGTCTGGAAATGTTATTGTGACGCATGAATTATTGACTTCACAAAGACTTATAAACTGCACATAGACTAGTCGGTAGGGATTGACTATTGTCATACGTCTCGTTTTTGGGATTGGTGCGGGCCGAAACCTATCAGTCAAGTCCTTAGTATTGTTATCAAGCTAGGTGACTTGTCATCGCTGTGCGCTTTAAACTGATATTAGATGATAGTAAGCAGGAAGCGCCGGACTAACACAGTCCTAAAAGAGGTCAGTCTTAAATCCGAATAAATCAGTGGCGATATCACTGGCTACAGCATTTCCTGACGCGAGTCCGAAGTTCTGAGCTGAGATAAGTTCCTCTAAGATTGCAGGCACACCTTACTGAAGGTTACCAACAAGCATGAAACTAAGGTCAACGGCTTCTTACCGATCGCCTCCAACCATGTAACATTTGAAACTGTAGACTCTCAATAGGTAGTTTCAGTCAACCAATTGACTCAATCTGGTAAATTGAAAATGTGTTTACACTGAGAGCTGTAGAATTCGGAGGAAAAATGTTTCTGTCATCATCAGGATGCGTAAACTAAAATATAGAATAATAAATTTAGCACAAATTAATAGTCAGTCATAATGGGGCAGATCACTTTATGCACTTGCATTTATTTCATCCATGGATCATCAACAAAGGGGGTCTGCCACTAGAAAGAAAATTAAAAGCCCCTGGGAATTAATCAAAGCCTGGGTCAATCAATACTAAAGGCATTAGCTAGAATAATAATAATGTCTCAATAAACTGGTTGTTTTATGACAACTCAACCATTTTGATGACAATCTAGTTGCCTCTTCACATTTGTATGGCGTATTTATTTTGACAGGAGGTTTCTAGGTTAAAGAGACAGTAACCGCAATTTAAAGTGACAACACATTTAGGAAGTTGTCTGTAATGCTGTTTTCTTTTAATAAAAGAATTTGTTTAAGGATTCGATAAGTATTCTTGCAGAAAACTCCATAGATAAATGACAAAGTGAGTTATCGATATGCCATAGGTTGAAGTATGGCAGCATGTGTTATGAAAGAAGTATGTATTATTCTTCAAAAGGGATACTGGAAATCAAATGCCTGAAGTGATCACGGAAAGTGAAAAATTGTAAGCAGCTAGAGAATATAATATTCTGGCATTTATAAAATACCATTACTTCTGAGGTAGAAGTTTCAAAAATAATATTTCTGTGTGTCGTAAAGTGATAAATGACTACATAAAAGACGAGAAGTTTTGGAGTCTGTAGTTGTCTTTAAACAACAGAGCTTGTCCCTGAGTGAGTTTGTAGGTTAAAGGACCTTGTTGACCCAATTAAACAAAATAATATAATTTACAAAATACCTTGCAATGACTGTAAAGTCAATTACATAGGTCAGACTAGTAGGTCGGGGGTAGTCAGATTATCAGAACATAAGAATTTAGCTAAGGGAAGAACGGTTGACCCTGAAAAGATAAGTAATTTAGAAAAATGCTCAGCAATTGTACTTCACGCATTAACAAACAACCACACTATAGGGTGGGATAGGGTTAAAATTCTAAAGAGTAACATAGGTAGGTGGAGAGAGAGGTTGATTACGGAATACTTGTTCATTGAGTCTACACCCAACACACGCAACAGAAATGAATCAATGGAAATACCAGGGATTATGGAAGATATTATTACCGCCGGTCAAATCAGAAGAGAATAATAAATAATCTTAATATTCTATTTCAATTCAAGCACATCACAACATTCTAACAAGTAACTTATTATGACTATAGAAACATTCGTCTTTTTTCCCATCTAATTGTAATTGATCAGTGACACTCGTATTATTATTTCTGAATGTACATTATCTCATATTGAATTCTATCCTAATATCTAATCGATTCCACACATGTATATAAATGAAGGAAAAAGTTGTGTGAGTAACTTGATATGATTATGAGCAATAGTTTGTGCTCGAAACATCATCAGCTAATATTACTGTACAACACTGTGTCATTTATCAAAATAAAATCTTATCCATAATGGAGTTACGCTCTACCACAGTGCCCAAGTTTTATACTTATATTCCTTATGAAACTGGAACTCTACAAACGTCGCTTCAAATGCCAAATTATTATCCACTGGGTCACGAGAACCATCTCTTATGCAACGGGTGCCAGTTAGTATTCTTTAAATTTAATTTATATTTACCACCGATTGACTATTTTGAATTGAAATGATTGATCTTTATTGACATCGAGTTAACCTTTAGATATCGTCAAAGCTTCGGTCCTAAAAGGTGGTATGTTATTTCATCTGTCGAAACTGTTCTATAAAGCAGATGGAAATTATTCGAAAACTGGAGGATGAATCCATCAAAGGTAAGCCATGATTCATGATACTTCAACACTTTTATTTTGATATTCAAGTATTGTTTTGTAAGGATTTGACTGATTGGTTATAGGATTTCATCATGAGCTGACATCGGTTAGAGAACCATTGGAAAACCCGGAAGTACTGGACAGCTGTTTCGTCCTTGTTCAGGGCTTTTGTTTTGATTCCTTTTATGCAAGCAAAGCAGCGGAGCACTATGTAAATGATTCGAATTTGTTTCGAATTCAAAAGTTTCCCCAAGGAATTGTTTGATTCTTTGTTTTTTTCAGGAGATATTCTGTAAGGATTAAACTTTATTTCTCGAATTTAGCCATGGATTGATATCAGTTAGAGAACCATTGAAAGCCAGGGAGTACTGGACAGCTGCTCTTTCATCCAAAAAATTAGATTAGTTGTTGAGATCCCTTCAAATTTCACCAAAAAGGAAAACAAAAGCTTCCTGTGATTTAATCACACTTATCTTTTAATCCAGTTGTCATAATATATTTAATCAACATTGGAAGAAAATTACTGTCATTTCAATTTGCATTTATTTTACTACATTTTATAAAGGTGAATTCGTTTATAAGCAATGGCATGGTACGCTCTTGTTTCGATCTGATGGAAACAAGAATCTACAGAGATGTGTCTAACTATTCTACGCTTTTCATACTGCTCAGTGTGAGTTAAAAATAATTGAAGGGTATTCCTTTCCTAATTAGTTCAAGTCTTTGGTGCTGAAAAGAGTCAGTTAACAGGAAGTTCTGTATGAATTATGTTAAATGTTTCTTGGTACTCAATGACAAAGAGTACTTACAATTTTAAGAAGAGTTATACTTCTCCCGAATTTTGAACTGACTAACTTCTTTCAAAACTTACTATTTAATTTGAACTCATTTAGCAGAGGAAACTGGAAATGTATTGGGTACATCCTGACAAGACCTCTGAATTACATCGCGCACCAGTCTCTCGAATGGGAACCTAAAGGAACACGAAGAGTTGTCCGTCGGAGGATGTCAATGATGGTGAACA